AATAATAATAATAATGATAATAATGATGATGACGATAATAATAATGATAATAATAATAATACCAATAGGAATAGGGATAAAAGCCATTATGATGAAGGTAATGATAATGATAATACCAGTGATGATGAAATATTATATCGCCATGATAAAGACAGTGGACAGGTAGATGAAGCAATAAGGCAAGAACTAAACCGGAAAAGAACCTGAGAAATCCTGCCTTCCCGCCGCAGGACGCGAGGCCGACCTGGAGACAGAAGTCGCAGAATCCTGATCTGGAGATGAAGGAGGAGGAGGAAGCCCTCAGAGCAACGCACCTGGTAAAAGGATGCCTCACGATGATCATCCTGACGCTGTCTCGCAGCGCCCGGGCCCTCTCGCTCTCCGTCGCCGGGCGCCCGTACATCGCGAAGGCCGCGCTGTGCGTCGCCCCGTACTTTGGCTGAAGGAGGGGGGGGGAGTCATTGTGCGTGTGTGTGTGGTGGTGCCTGTCTGCTTTCCCTCGTTCACTCTCCTTCTTAAATACACATACATTCACGCATGTGTAGGATCCATGCTGAATAAATTGTAAAGAACAAGAAAACACGGATTTTGCATGCAGGGCATGGTCTGAATAAACACACACATACACACGCACACACACATACACACAGTGACGTAGAAGTCCACGCACATACATTATCGATGATTATGCAGAGAGATATGTAAAGTATGATGTATTTCTTTGTTCACATTCATCACTTCTCCGAAAAAAACACAAATGATGCAGACGACGCAACGTGACAGCTTTGCGACATCTCTGAACAGCGGGATCGACGTACCATGAGCCTCCTCTTCTCCGTCTCCTCCGCCGAGAGGTTCCTCGGGATGCGCGGGTTGCGCTCGTTGAAGTGGCCGAGGCGCAGGAAGTTGCGCATCCAGGTGGTGGAGGCGACCTGGCCGGGGGCGGTCGAGGTCAGTTCGTGAAACGGCGGCGGGGGCGGAGTTGTCATGTTTATAGATGTATGCATATGAGTAGACACACGCATACAGGCAAAGTGACGATGCAGATCACACATTGAGTTAGCTTGGTTGCATATTTGGTCCTGCTCTTTACATATGAGAATAGGTGTGCTGCTCGGCAAAGGGAAAATATAACAGAAGTCTCTATATACTATACATTAACAGCACATACACACATAACATTCATTAAACGTATACCTTATAAGTGGGGCACCAGACGATGCTGGGGGAATGCGTCAAGTCCCAAATGAAACTCTCTCTCACGGGCGTCTCCTCGACAGAAGGTGTTTCCTGGCACACTTGAGCCACGGCGCGGGCGCGCTCAGTCATCACGCCCACGTGGCTCTCCAGGGTGGCCTGGTCCTATGGCACAAGGGGGGAGGGGGTTGGATGCCTGGCTGCGTCCTGCGGTTGCCTCTCCTCTCCGTGCATGTGTGTGTAGCTGTGCGTGCGCGTTTACACACACACACACACACACACACACACACACACACACACACACACACACACATATATGTATACACACTTATATGTATGTATATATATATGTGTGTATATAATATATATATATATATATATATGTGTGTGTGTGTGTGTGTGTGTGTGTGTGTGTGTGTGTGTGTGTGTGTGTGTGTGTGTGTGTGTGTGTGTGTGTGTGTGTGTGTGTGAATGTAAATCCAACTACCTATCTGTCTATCTCCATGCGTATGTATTAACGTATGTATATGAAATATGAGTATATCTGTGAGTGGTGTTTGCAAGGAAAATATTAACAAAATATAATAAGGTGCAGAGGTGTAGCGCATATGGCACAGGCGTGAGAGGTGCGGCGTGATCTACGGAGCCGTATTTCCTTGGCTACAAGTCCTTCATCTCTTTAGCATGATATTAAAACGAAGGGGAATCCTTGTCTCGCGCTGGTTTGCATTTTCGTAATCCTCACTCGCTGCGTTTACTATAAAAGCAGTGTTTTATATTTAACCTTTTCATAGTCATCATAAATAATTCCCAAATATTAATGCCAGCACAGATCACTTCATTGCGCAAGTATAAGAAGGATTACCTTTGATAAAAAAAAAATATATATATATATGCAAATATACAATAAGCAACATTCAAAGTCTTCGTTCTAAAAGGAAACTTATCTGCAGTGTTCTGATAGGCTTCCCTTCTCTCTGTCTCCGATGCGATGCGATTGAGATTTGCGAAGTTTTAGCTTCGCCCGGGCCTTCTATGGCTGTCTTATTTTGTTCTCTGACACTCGGTGCTTACCGTTGCGGTGGGATTGCCAGCAGGCGCTCCTGCCGCCATGGTGTAAGCATATCACATAATCTCTCTACCAGCACGGCAGCTGTTGTCGGCGGTCTTCGTTTTTCTCTTCCTTTCGTAGTTTAGTACAACAGGCAAGCAGCAGACCGCAACCTCAAATGTCAATATGTGATTTCTTCGGTTTTATTACATTTTCACGATTAGTTGACAGCAAGGAACATAGATTACGCAA